ATCCACCAGTCTGTCGCAGGTCTGCCTACCTTGCAGGCGCGGGTGGCGGCTCTGCCCTGCCCCTCCTACCACACCCGAGTGCCGCTGGGCCTGTTCTGCCAGTCGCGCGCAGGTCTGCCTACCTTGCGGGCGCGGGTGGCGGCTCTGCTCTGCCCCTACTCCAATTGGGGTTACGTGACTACCACACCAGCGGGCCGCTGGGCCTGATCCGGTCGCGGGCGGTGGCTCTGCTCTGCCCCTCTGGCTTGATGAGAAAGTGAGAGAGACTCGGGTGTTTGTGACTCACTTTCTTTACTAGGAGACCAACTGTTTCTGTCGCCGCTGGTATCGATGAAGTTCTCTCCTCCGCCGCTTTCTGATGACATCAGATCTCTGCCATGTTGGTATCCCATGCGAATGGCAGCATTTCGTTCCCTTTGCTGGGTGACCAAAGCAACGGGTGAGTCCTGACTGGCCCTCACAAGCCCTGTCTCAGTCCTGTTGCCACTGCCTATGAAGGCTCGGTTGGTATTTACCTCCACAGTATTCAGCAGGACCCGGACCGAGAAGCAGTTTCTGCGGGTTCTTTATCCCTGGGCCAGAGCAGTTCCGGGAGCCGGAATTTGGCCACTCCGTGCTCGGTGTATGTTCTGATAGGAGCAGGCTCCAAGAAGCAGTTTCTGCGGGTTATTTAGCACTGAGCCTGAGTAATTTGTTTGCGAGCCGCAGGCGAATGGCAGCCTGAAATTACCTGTTCTATGGCTGAATGAGCTGCGATCAGTCGAAAACAGGGATGGTGACGTCAGCTCTCCAAGATGGTGGCCGCTGGCTTCCTCTGTGGTCTGACCTGTGTGGAGAACCGAATTGGACCGCTTCCTTCCCCCGTCTCAAACCCAGAATTCAGCACTTAGTACAGTGACTGCACAGCTGGCAGAAGCCCGCGGAAACTGCAGCACTGTATCTTTGCGTTGTTATCTCCTTGTTTCCCAGCGTGCGCCGCAGACTCTAGCCGCAGGGCAATTTGCTGAATAAGCGGCGTGACCCTCCGTGCAGACAAATCTCTCGCGTTTGAGCCCCCGTAGCTGATCCTCATGAGATGGAAATCTTTCCTCTAGGTTTTGGAGCACCCCAATTTTGCTGGAAATTCCTAACAAGATAGCTTTTAGCCGTTCTAACTCGTCATTCTCCCGCACAGTGACGTGGTACACGGGGGTAATGCTCTCCCTTCGCCGCCATCTTCCCTTCCTTTATCTGAAATTTTCACTCCTGACATGTATTTCACTGGTTATAAATTTCTGTAGTTATATACTTTTGAGTTATATACTTTTGAAAATTTTTGCATCATTTCCTTCAGAATCTGAATTCTTATAAGAAATGTGCTGTCATTTTCACTACTTTTCTCCTAGAGTTAATGTGTTATTTTCTTCACTGCTTTCAATATTTTTTTCCTAATTCTCAATTTTAAGAATTAATTTTAGTCTGATTCATCTGTAATTTTTGGGATTCATCCTATTTGGGGTTCCTTCAGTTCTTAGAAATTGTGGGTCTTAATGTCTTTTGACGCTTTGGTATTCCAGCTATGATTTTCTTGAATATGTCTGTAGTTCACTTTCTCTCCTCTCTCAGGACTCTACTCTCCTGAATGCTAAAACTTTTGTTAAGTCCCACAGGTTCCTCTGCTGTTCACATTGGGCAATTTGTATTCTTTTATCTTCAACATCACAGATTCCTTACTCTATTCCCTTGATTCTCCTAGTAAGTATTTTCACTTCTAAAGTTTCCATTTTACTCTTCTTTATACTTTTAATTTTTGATATCATGTTAGAACTGGCATCTGTTAATCATATTTTCTCATTCTTCCATTTCTTGGCATTGTGAGTCATTTCCTATAAAAACATGGACTTGGGAATATAATGTGTTAAAACTATTGATTTTATTTAAACCTGCTGATACTACTTCCAGGTGAGTAAGCAGGGTGATGCCTCACTTCTCAGTGATAATAGAAACTCAGCCTCTGTGGACATGGAAGAAGGCAGCAGTGGAAGGGTTTCTCATAACTGCTCAGTTGGGGTGAGACTCCAATCTCACCCATAGGCCTTCCCTGATTCCAAGAGCAAGAATGCCTCATTTTCAGTTCCCAAATGCCCTCCACTGTCACCATGGTGGGAAAGGGGGTAGAGGTGGCTTCTCTTCCTGTGGGCAGTGATGAAGCTTCTAACTTACCACCAGACCACCTCTGTCACCTCCCCAGCAAGGAAGAGTTGCTGTACCATTTTACCACTACTGGGTATGGAAGTCCCAGTTCCTCACATGGTCTCCACTGACACCATAAAGGGACAGGATGTCAAAAGGACTTTTATCACCTGTGGGAATGAAAGTTCCAGCTCTCTGTTCAAAATTCTCTGACACCAACACTACAGGGAGTCAAAGCACTTTATCACCAACAGCTGGGGGTGAAAATCTAGCCTCCATGCTTAAGCTCTGGTAGAGGGGGTAGTGATGGGGTCTTGATTCCCCACCCCACCCCATGGTGTTTGGCTGCAATAAAGTATTTACTGGCTAAGAGTTTTCTGTCTTCCTAGGTCAGCCTTTTCCTATACAGAGTAGGCATTTCTTGAGATTTTCTTTGCCAGTGTCAGCATTTCTGGTTGCTGGCTTCTCCAATAGCCAGCTACAACATACAAAGCAAAGAGTAAACCCAAGAACTAACTCCATGTTTGTTTGTTTTTTTTTCTTGTGTTTCAAGGCTGCCCATTTTTGGTCTCTATTCTTCTAACTTCAAAGTCCTATTATGTTTGTTTTATATATGATGTCTAGAAGTTTTAGCTGTACTTAGAAGAACAAATAGGATAGAAATTTTCTACATCATCCTGGAAGTAGTAACTATGTCAATATGAAAATAACAACATATTTGTTATTATTTTAATTGGATCAGTCTCATAAATCTTTCCTCTGTCTACACTAATGACACGAAAACTTATGTTTCATGATCTTTATTTTCTAAACAATTGTCTTGATTTATGTATTCACTTACTCAATATGTTTTAATGTATATAATGTAGCACATTATATCACTCTGGTTGTGGAGACCCTGCTCTATGATAGTGATTTTCAAATCTAGTGACATTAAGAATCATGTTTAATACTTTTTAAAAAATCATAACAACTTCATCCTTATCCTCAAAGATTGGTAGACATATGAGATTGGGTTCAAGAGTCTGCGTTTAAAAAAAAAAATTTATTCAGATGATCTGCAAACTACACCATTAAAAAAATCACTGGACTATATTATTTTCATAGTACCTGCCAGTTCTCATATTGCTTCTCTCAGTATCATGCTCACTGAGCTTTTAAAGGAATCCTAGGGACTTTCTTTTAAGTCAACCATCATATTTATTATTCAGCCAATTTATCCAGCCAACCAACCCACAGCCAACTTATCCTGAAAGGATATGTTTCCCCAAGTGGTAATTTCTGTTATTCCTAGAATTTTTATTTGAATGCCAGGAATAGAATCCAAGGCCTGAGACTTACTAGGGAAGTGCTCTACTACTGAGCTACATCTCTGACTCTTTTTATTTTGCTCAAATGTGTCTCAAGCTGGCAAACCTCCCACCTGAGCCTCCTGAGTAGCTGGGATTACAGGCATGTGTCACTGTGCCTGGCTCCTAGAAATTTATTTTTAAAAAACTGATTTTATCTGACTAGATACCTCTAACCTAACTTTGGGGCATCTACCTTTGTGAGAGCTGTGCAGAGTTCTAAATCAATTAGAACCTACCAGAAAGATTATTTTATTGAAACACTTTTAGAATGTTTATACTTGGCATAGAAGCAATATAAAGTGTCATATTTTTTAAAAGCTTATATAAGTAAAATAAGACCTTTGGTTGAAGTAATTCTAGGTTTTTACAAGTTGTATATTATTCCTTGGTATCTTCAAGGGATTAGTTCCAGTATCCCCTGTAGATACCAAAATCCAACAATGCCCAAGTTCATTAAAAAAATGGCATGGAATTTGCATATAGCCTCCACCTAATTTTTTCATACTATAAATCATCTCTAGATTCCTTATAACATCTAATATAATGTAAATGCTATGTAAGTAGTATTGTATTGCATTGTGTAGAGAATAACGACAAAGAAAAAATATAAATGTTCTATAGAGACACAATTATCTTTTCCAGATATTTTTGATTCTCAGTTGATTAAAGCTACAGATGTGAAAACCACAAATAAAAAGGGCCAATTATTATTATTTTTTTTAAAAAAATTTTAGTTGTTGAGAGACCTTTATTTTATTTTATTTATATGTGGTGCTGAGAATTGAGCCATGCTAGGAAGGCTCTCTACTACTGCGCCACAACCCCAGCCACTCATTTTATTATGCTATTCAATATGTTTATTTAACTAAAGTTGAATCACTTGAATTCTAGCAGATTGACTGATTAAAACACATAACATACTAAAGATTCTTAACATAAAAAGTGGGTTCGGAGGCTGGGGTTGTGGCTCAGCAGTAGAGTGCTCACCTAGCACATATAAGGCCCTGAGTTCAATCCTCAGCACCACAAAAAAATAAATAAGCAAAATAAAGGTATTTTTATTTTGTGTTTTTTATTTTATTTTTAAAATTGTGTCCAACTACAATTAAAAAATAAATATTAAAAAAGAAAATAGGTATAAATAAGCCTGTATTAAGCTCTCCCAAAGGGTTTGGTTGAATACTATTACGTTGTGTATGAAAATCCAGAATATCCGAGTTCATTTCACAAAAAAAGGTTAAAACATTCAAACTTAGGTTTGTTCCTTATAACAGCTAGAAATATCTATTACTAAATCTGCATGAAACATGGACTTACAAAAAAGTGAATAGGTTGGAGGACAAAATAAAATGTAGCCTGAGTAAATAAACTAAAGTACAAAGACTTAACTGTTCATAGGAAGGACACTGCTAACTTTGCCTTGATAAATTTTGTCTCTTAAATACAAGGGAGTTAATACATATATAATTCACTTACATCACTCGTTTCAACACTATAGATGAATTCTCTACTGTTTCTTCTCCCTAGATAAAAAAAAAGAAATAGAAAAACACGTTTCATTGGTCAGCTGATGGACTACTTTCAAAAACTTACATAATGAGAAAACTGGAATTCAACAAACAAATGAAATTCAAAGCAAAAATACTGGGAAAATACCTGAAAGACCATTCTGGGAATAAATTATTGAAAACAGCCTAAAAAGACATCTCGCTAAAATCTGTTTATAATCTAAAGGAAAATGCCAATTACTGATGTGTAGGATATACTCTCATCCACTAAGAAATAAACTTAAAGTTTGATCAATGGAGTTATCAAACCATAGGTAAAAAGCACTAAGAAGAAAACATTCAATAGAATGTCCACTGGTGTCTTCTAATTCTCAGCATGAGACATTAAATATTTTTTCCACTTCGTTCTTGGAACTGAACCAAACTGGTTTCAGGGGAAACACTATCAGAGCATACCAGTTCTCAGCAGGTTCAGATTACTTTCCCAACAAACAGATATTTTCATAACGGCTATGTTCTTATTTATTTGGACTGAAATACATGTTCAAATAAGTTTCTAATACTAAAAAATATTATAATGTAGAATTCTTATTATTACTCTCTAGTGACTCCAATTTGGACAAATACTATGAAATATTTATCAACTCAAAAACTTCTTACATGAAATTTTTTTAAAAAAATATCACAAGGTGAATGAAATAAAATTCTGGTATCACTTAAAGGCCACCCATAATAAATAATTATAATTTTAGGAAAAGTTAACATATGTTCTAAGAAAATAGAAAAATCACAAATCCATCATTTAAATATTTTCTCGGAATCCAAGAAACAATTCATTTTACAAAATGATTTTAAACAGATGAAAAAGATTTAATTTACAACAGTCCATTCATTTTCACAGATTATTCAAATCACTAATGATTAGTGAGAATCACAAGAGGGTAAATACAGTACCATAAATGTTTTGAGAAACAAAGACTATATTCAAATAGTTTTATTATAGTATATTATTATACCTGTTCTATACTATTAGTTCATATTATTAATCTCTTACTTTGCCTATTTTATAAGGTAAACTTTGTCATAAGTATGATATCATAAGAAAAAAGCACAATAATATACATATAGGACTTGGTATTATCTGAGTTTCTGGAATCTACTGGGGGGTCTTAAAATGTATTCCCCACAAATAAGGGGGACTACTATCCAAGGTGTATGATGTGTTTTAATAAACTAAACAAAAGATTCCCTATCCTTCCTTTGAAGAGTACAGCAAAAGTTCAGAGCTCTCAACTATCTCATAAAGGGCATAATGTCTGTCTCATAAGATTTGTGTGAGCATAAACAAGAGGCCAACAAATAGTCTTCTTTTTGATACTGCTATTACTCTTAAGATAGAGATTCTGTTCCTTATTAATAATAACTATTATAAATTTCTTTGGATTAAATTTCAGCATGTCAGAATAAAGTTGAAATGATTTCTTTCCTATTTGCATTTTTTGTTGTTGTTGAAAGATCTGATCTTAAAATGCAAACAGTTGCTATAACGAAACGTGAAAACTAACCAACTAGAGCTTAACTTTTCTGAGTGGAGAATTTCTCATGTAAAAAGAGAAATATATAAATTAAAATACTCTGAAAATATATGTAGTACAGTACCATCAAAAGAAATGTTTTCCCATGAATACTACCTTGATACACCGTTGAAAACTTCACAATGTCCAGAACACCTATCGCTGCATTGAATATGGAATGCACACTAATCTGATGTTCTTGTTTCATGGTTTGCATGTGATTTAAGTGTATCCCCCAAGTGTTCACATTCTGAAGGCTTGGTCCCCACTGTGGCAATGTTGAGAGTGGGTGGAACTTTTGGGTCCTAATGGCAGGTAATTAGGCCACTGGAGGCAACAATCTTTGAAGAGACTAACATAATACTCAGTGACCCAAATTAAAACAAAAACAAGATTTTATAAAAAGAGCAAGCCTTGCTCTTGAATTTTTTCTTATTTTCTATCTTGCCATGTAATATCTCCTTCTCATACACAATTGCCATCATGCCATTAACAATGTTTTGATGTAGCCAGAAGGTGTTCAGGTTAAATAGATGGGGCCACATAATCTTGGTCTTGCAGCCTCCAAAAACTGTGATCTGATTAAACCCTATTTTAATAAAGTATCAAGTCTCAACTATTTTATTATAGCAACCCAAAGTGAACTATACCTTATAATGCATAGGTAAAGAACAGTATTTTAAGAAATACATGCTTTGTCTCTCAAGATATTGTCTTTGAACATTGACCTAAGGAGGGTTACATTTTTTTAACAACTGAAACAGTCACTATTACACTGAAGAAGAATGCATCAAACAAAATATTGTTCCAAGGACAGAACAATCCATCGAGTACAAGTCTTAGGCTAGGTTTATTGATCATTTGTAATACCATTTTTTATGAAAAGAAAGTTGAAAAATTGCAGACACTAATCCCTCCTTCCTCTAATTATTTTTGCCCCATTTAACGGAAAACAACAAAGTTTAAAAAATTTCAAATTTATGTCTGAACTTGTTACACTTCATTTAATTGAGAATTTAGAAAAGAGGAAAAGAGAATCCTCCAGAAAACCTCCCATCACTACTAGTCCGCCTCTCACATTTAACCTTTAAACTCACTGCTTTCTTTCACTGAAATGAACAACTGTTCTCTTCCCCTGCTGACACCTGCTTATATTTCACATTATGTCAGTTTAAACATTCTCCTTTCAGGCCTTGCTGATACTGCCGCAGAAGTACACTTTGTAAGGAGGATCCTTTTCTTAGGAGCACACTTTGTAAGGTGGATTGTTTTGTGAAAAGCAGAAAAATTCAGGATAGATTTATTTCCTCACACATTGCTCACTGTGTCTCTCTCATGCACAATGAGACGTTCATACATGCCATATATTTACACAGACTTTCACACTCCCTCACAGAGTATGAAGATACATTAACCATGATGCATGATCTCCAAACCACTGTCAAAACAGGTCTAGCTGAAAGGACAGGATTTGAAGCCAACAACTCCAAATCAACTTCTTGCTATTTCTCCAATTTCTAAGTGGCTATACTCTTCTTGTGGAGTAGAAACAAGAGATATAAAGGTTTGGTACCAATAATTGTGGAGAATTATCTGATAGATGCTAAAAGAAAAGCCAGCTCCAAGACTAAGGTCTGAGTTTTCACTGAAAGCATATTCCTAAGAATATACTCTCCAGCAAACCCAGAGTCCTAAAATAGCTCTTGAATTAACCAGATGGTCTTCTCACCTTACACTCCTACCAGCAGCATAAAATAAAATATAGTTTTGTGCTAGCATAATAACATTTCTGTCAACAATGGACAACATATAACACAATGTCTGTAACATTATAATATAACCTAGATTTAATCTTACAGACATTGTGTATGTAATAGGCTATACCATCCATTTTTGTGTAAGTACTCTATGATGTTCCCACAAAGTGAAATCACCTAACAAAATCTCAGAACATATCACTGAAATTCAACAGCTTATGACTGTATATACAATCAAATATCTACATTCCTTAATGATAGGTGGTTTTATTAAGCATGATGCTTAATATACATGCAAAGGTATTAGTTCTATGTATAGATTCTAAGTATAGATTATTTTTTTACATTCAACTTTCAAACTGTCTCTTCCAATGCTAACTGTACATAAATCAAAGCATGAACATTGCAAATCAGATTCCTTATAATGTCAACTAGTCAGTAATTCAATTCCAGCAGCATTGACGTTTTTACTGTTTGTTTACATAACTATTTAAGTGTACTATTACAAATTTCCATTAGAATTTCATTTTAAAAATTAGTAGACAGTAGGAAAATAGCCAAACGGAAATATCTGAATAAAAACAGACTGAGAAAATGCAACAAATCAGAAATTTCTCATTAATATATTTAACAGGCCAGATGTTAACTGTCTCTCTAGAAACAAATCTTATTACATGTAAATCAATTGTTTAATTCTCCCATGTTTAATCTTTGAAGGCGATTTAGGCAACACATGACATATAAGACTGGTTTACATGTAAGGAAATGAACTTACTCTAAAAAATCCTTTGACACTATAAAATGTAGAAATGAAAGTGGCTTCTAAAAATCGATGCTCCAGAACCTAGAAAATTTTAGCTTTCTTTAGCCAGCACTTTTGTTTTTATAACTGTGTCACTTAATTCGGAGGTGGGGAGGGATCTGAAAGGGGATATCTAAAAATCCAATGGATTGTTGATGTTAAAATAAACATCTTAATCACAATGCACTTTCATAAGACCCTATTAATAACAGAAGATAATGGGCAACAAAGCCAATTCAGCAAAGTAATTGACATTTTAATTTTGCATCCAGAATATAAAAGATACTGAGTGGCCTTGTCCACTCTCCTTCTTAGGCCCTGCTCCCACCAATGCCACAACACTCTGCAACTTGGATTCTGGATCTGTGAACAAATCTGGGCACAGATATTTGGGAAGGATAAAGTCATAGACTTATCCATCAAATATATAGTACTATTCATCAATGTCTTTTTTCTCACCTACATCAAAATCAGATGAGAGAGCATAAATAAATTACAAAGCTTTGGTGCATGCCTATAATTCCAGCAACTCAGGCGGCTAAGGTAGGAGGTTGTCAAGTTCAAGATCAGTCTTAGCAATTTAGACAAGGCTAAATAAAAAGGACTGGGAATGTAGCTCTATACAGTGCAGTGTCACTAGTTCAATCCCAAGTTCAAGTAAATAAATAAAGAAATATTACAAAGTCTTTTGTGATGAAAAGTAAAAACTCAAGTCATTTGGGGAAAAGTACTAAAACAGTCTTAGAATGAACTTATGCTGCATGTGACTTTATGTTAAAATGCTATTAGTTCTAAGTATAGATTCTAGTAAGTAAAATCATCAGACTCCAAACAATTGAAAGACAGTATCGGTTAATCTCTGTAATGTTATATTAAAATATATTTTTTTCATTATATAAAGAAGTACCTCAGGGATAGAGTGCTTGCCTAACACATGTGTGGCCCTTGGTCTAATCCCCAGGACCATAAAAAACAAAACAAAACAAAAAATTATACAGAGAAAGTTTCATCATATACATTTATTCCCTCCACTCTTCCTTCAATAAAGAATAAAATTTTGGGCTCTCATAGTTTTATCTGAAAAGGATCAATTTTTAAAAATTAATGAATGCTGTGAATGAAAAAAAAATCCATTCAGACTCTTCAATTACTAAAATTACAACAGGAAATAAATCTCAACAAAAGCCTAAACCATCAAATGAATATGGAAAACGACTTTCAATTTTATACTTCTAAAAGCCATGTGACTGTTTTTTGCAACACTGAACAATTATTTTTCCTAATAAATATATTTATCAGTCATTATTCAAAGCTTAGAGTTGTTAATAGCTTCATTTTTTTCTATCCTCAAATTAGTTTTTTTTTTTTAAATATCAATGGATCTTTATTTTATTTCTTTATATGTGGTGCTGAGAATCGAACCCAGTGCTTCACAAATGCTAGGCAAGCACTTTACCACTGAGCCACAACCTCAGCCCCCTCGAATTAGTTTTTTAAATATAAAGGGGGGGGCATGAGGTTCAAGTGACCTGGAACAAAAGAATAAAAGATGATAACCCATGAAGTGGAAGAAAATATTGTCATATATATAAAAAGAGGACTGGTATCTAGAATATATAAAGACCTCTCACAAATCAATAACAAAAGGAAAATTAACTCAAATTTTAAAATGAGCAAAAGGATTTGAAAATAAACATTTCTCCAAAGAATATATAAACATATATAAATATATGCAAATACACACATATATATAACAAATAAGCATATAAAATAGTTTACACATTAGTCATTGGGGAAATGCAAATCAAATCATATTAAGACACCAGTTTACAACTACTGGAATAGTTATAATAAAAGCAGACCATAACAAGTGTTGGGAAGTGGAATAATTTAAATCCTTATACATTACTGGTAGGAAAATAAAACAATACAGACACTTGGAAAAATAAGCAACACAGAGCTAGTACATGATCCAGGAATCCCCTTCCTAGGAATATACCCTCCAAAATTGAAAACATATATGTTTTCAATAACCCATTTGACCACCACCTGATAACTGGATTATTGTGGTACATCTCTACAATTGAACATTACTTAGCAATTAAAAGTCATCAGGAACTGATAAATGGGTGAACTTCAAAAACATGCCAATATACAGAACCAGTTGCAACAGACCATGTATTGTATGATTCTACTTATATTAAGTGTCTGGAAAAGGTAAATCTATAGAGACAGTAAATAGATTATTGGCTGCCTGAAGCTTTTTTTTTTTTTTTTTGGTGGGAACTGAGAAGGATGGGAAATGACTGCATAGGCAGTTTCTATTTGGAGTGATGAAAGTGTTCTAAAATTACTTTATGGTGATGATTACAAAAATCTGTAAGACAATTGAACTTTATTCTTTAAATGGGTGAATTTTATGGTATATAGATTATATTTCAATAAAGCTGTTTTTAAAGGATAGAAGGATGCAATAATACACTATTTCTTGGTCTCTGAAAACTGAATAGTAAGACTATGCTCGTGTATTTCATTACTTTTTTTAAAAAGCTGCTTTTCAGGTTTAGATCAAATAATAAACAGGACATGAAATTATTGTCATTGAAACTATTATGAAATTATTGTCTTGGAAAATGAGCAAAAAAACTAAGTGCATTTTAAAGAAAATGTGTTTATTAAAATAGATCCACGAAGCATAGGTCTGTGCAAAGAATGGACAAATACTTCTCTACAGAACTTAGCCTTCAACTAAAGCTGTTCTGTTAAAACAGTAGTGTCCCCAGAAACAAAGGAATCTCAGGCAGAGAAACTTTAAGGTCTGTGCCTCCCATAATTGAGCATCTCCACCCATGATTGGTAATCAGCAGACAGGTAGGCAAACGGACCCGAGGGCCAGCTCCCTACAGGAGAGGGCACCCCATCTTGCACTCTAAGCTGTGACTCCCTTGGGGGAAATCCCTCCTTTCCAGTTGGGCCTTGTTAGGAGGCTCAGCACACTCTAGCAGCCCAGAATTGCTCAGAGGCTCAGTGGAGTCCTGGGGAGCAACGAGGGTGGCACAGGAAATCGCGGGACAAGGAAACCCACCTGCCCAGCTCAAGCACCCAATGTCCATACTGCTGTCTGTCTCGCGCAGGGCTGGCCACTCAGCGAACGTCCCCGGTACTCCCGCGGCAGGGCCGCCAACGTCCCCTGGGTCCTTGTGCTGGGAATGGAGGGGGTCCACGCGGGCAGCCCGCCCTCTCCCGGTGCCTCTCCAAGGGGGTCCTACCTTCCTGCTCCACCATTTCCAGGAGGTCGGGATCGCCCATCTTCGCTAGCTCGTTGATCACACTGTCGCGGGGACGGGTGTCGGTGGCCGACCACTGCGACCAGCGGCGAGACAATCTGGGGGCGAAACTGAAACGGATCCTGGGCCGCGGCAGTGGTAGCCTGGCTTGCTTGGGAAGTTCGGGCTTCTCGGGGCCGCTGTCCCCCGACTCCTCAGACTCCTCCGACGCCTTCTGGATGGGCACTTTGGCCTTCCTCTCCAGCGGGAACGTCCACTTGTCGTCGGGGGACTCCGCGTCCTTGACCTTGCGCTTCACTGACCTCTCCCGGTAGCGCCTCTCGGCTCTCTCGGTGTACGCCTCCCAGTACGAGTCCCGGCGCCAGCCTTCCTTGCCCGAGTCCTTTCTGCTTTTGCTTTCCCGGCGCTTCCTTTTCGCCTGCTCTAGGTCGCCGTCTCCCCACCTCTTTCCCCGCCCCTCGTCCCGACATCCAACCTCAGGACCCGCCGGCGCCCCACCCTCGGGAACCGCCATCTCCAGGCCCTCCCGCCTTTCTAGCGGGGCGCTGGCCTCCTCTTCTCCACTTGGCCGCGGCCGCGGCTCCTCCACCTGCCGGCCCTGCTCCTGCTCGGGGCCCGCCGCCGCCGGGCTCGCCCGCCGGCGGTCCGCCTCCTGGCCCTCGGCCCTCCGCCTCTCTTTACTCTCCCGCTCCATTCTCAACAGGCTTCGCCCGTCCTATCTCACCCGGGCCACCCTCGCCTCGGAATCCGGGCTCTCCGCGACTACTTCCCTCCTTCTCTCTGAACCCTCCTCCGACCCCCACGGGTGGGCTAGACGCTGCTTCAGCCAGTTGGTCCTCATTCATCCGCCTGGCCCCCACCCACCGTGGGTGCCACCGAGAGAGAACCCCCTCCCCGGTTCGGGAGTTACTTTTTGTCGGGTGAGAAAAGTCCCCGTCCCTTAAAGAGACCCCACCCCTTTACCGCCGGTGAATGGCTGGGGTCTCCAAGATTCCAGCAGACCTGTCCTGCCCAAGTCTGAGCACTTTTTCTCTGGGCACTGCCAGCTACCTGGACGCTGAACAGAATCTTTTCTATAGTTGAGAGAAAGGAGAAAGTCATGCATTGTGGCCAGAGGTTAAAGTCAGACTCCGCTCCTTAAAGGTTGCGTAGCTTTTGGCCAAATTTCTATAAGCTTCAGTTTCCATATCTTTAGGTGAGAATAATGGTACCCACCTTCTAATTCTAGTGGTGTTGTGAGGAGCAGAGTGCTTGGCCCAGAATGTGTTATAAATTTGGCTACTATTAAAATTAGCCTATATCACGTTGAGTCCTACTTCGATCCCTTAGTGCCCAGAGAACTTGAACCTGATGCTCATAGGCCTCTCTGGTTTTTTGTTGTTGAGACCCTGTCAATTGCCAGCTCCATAATAGTCAGGATATAGGAATTACTGTCCAATGGGGAGCAGGAAACAGATGAGTGGTGATGAACTGAAAGTGATGCAGACATCTGAGCAGATAGGAGAGCTTTGAGAATGTTGAAAGAGGGACTGAGTTTTGAGGTAATTTCAGAATAAGGAAGAGATGACTAAAGAAAACTTGGTCTTTATTCATTGCTCTGCTACTGTATTGTTGTTTTTCCCATTCCACTGATATTTTCAAACGGAGAATCACCTTTGGCAGATGAGGAACTGGCATATTGAGAAGATTTTGGTAAAGTTGGTGAAGGTCATGGTTTACTGCAGAACTGAAATCACTTTTCACCTGTATCTTCCCTACTAAAACTTCTAGGAATCATCAGTTCTTGCTTGCCAAGTGATTCAAGACTACAAGCAATTCCCTAGTTGATGTGTTCTTGAATTATGTTTGAAAGGGGAATATGGACGAGTCAAGCAATAGATTTACATGTGATTATAATAAATGGCGAATGATGACCAGTTTGTATTTTACCTCTTGATTATTAAACTTTGTTTCATTCTAATGAATGCTTGATAATGTGAATATCTCAAATGTTCTTCTTCCTATAAGATAGGTATTCTGCATATAGATATAGATGCTGTGGATGTTATAAGTAAACAAATGGGTAGAATCTTTGCTTTACATTGATTAAATAAATATAAAGAAACAATATTTTTCTGTACTTTGTATAATTCTGTTTCATATTTCGTGATTCTGCACTATATTCAAAGTTACATATATGAGAAGATATTATGTACTGATGATTTTCAAGAAATTAAATATTTTTGAAACCAAATTTGCTAATATCTTATCAACTTTCTTTAAACTTTGTTAATAAAATTTTGAAACCAGCTGTGTTCTTTTTACATAACATCTTATCCATAACTTTTTAAATCTTGAGAAATATTCTTTGTATTTGAATCATTGACATGTTTTTTTGTTGTTTATCCATTCATAATTTTACAATTTCCTCCATCTCTACACCTTGCCTCTTTGTACACAGTCTGCAACCATTCATTTCCAGAATTATGTACTGAATACTGAATACATATTCCTTGAATGTAGTTGAATACACAGGTAAGTACTCTATTGGGATTCAAAAGGCTTGGCTTGGCTTTGTTTTTTCTTTTGTTTTTGTTTTTTCCCCTCTAAATGATTTCAGCTTTTGTTTAAATTATTACAAGCATCTGGTAACATCTTTATGTAGTTTTTTTAGGTCTTTTAAAGCATGCAAAATTATTTACATAATTATACAAACAGCTATAAATAACTATACTTTGAAAACTAAGCTGGCAACTGGCCACTTGAAATACTTGTTGGCCAGCTGATGTGGAAAGTATGAATTTGCTATAGGAAAGGGTTGTCAGTATATAGTGTATGAAAGAAAACTTGAGTGTATAAAAGTCATGTGAGTGCTCTTAAGTAGTATCTGTGAGTATGTGTGTGTGGTGGTGGTGGGGGGGTTGTTTTAATTCTACCAGCCTGATTGGATCAGTGGACTTATTTTGAAGAGTGTAAGTTTATGATATAGAATTTGAATGCCAGAAAAAGACTCGGGAAGTCAACAAATGAATCCTCCCTTCTGGTATTTAAAACAAAGATACTGTACTTCTAGTCTGGACTGGATCAATCTCAATTTCTCTAAGTGTCAAACTTTGACTCCTAGAATAAGTTCCCTCCTTTTGGATTACTCATCATCAATGTTTATCCCCTAAATTATAATTTACTTCATGTATTTTCAACATCACCATAGCCCACAAAAATAGCATACTCTAATATATGGAGCTTTGTGACAGGGCTGGAAAGACCTGCAAGCTAATTTTAGCCCCTTAAAAATGTGAGCAGTACCATCCTTGCTAATCCCATGCCTCTCCCTTTCCCTCCCACCCCTCTTCACTATCTAGAATTCATCTAATCCTCCCATGCTCCCCATCCCTACCAGACCATGAGTCAGCCTCCTTAAATCAGAGAGGACATTCAGCATTTGTTTTTTTGGGGGGATTGGCTAACTTAGCATTATCTTCTCCAATGCCATCCATTTACTTGCAAATGTCATTATTTTATTCCCTTTTATTGCTGAGTAAAATTCCATTGTGTATATATACCACATTTTTTATCCATTCATCCACTGAAAGGCATCTGGTTTGGCTCCACTAGTTTAGCTATTGTGAATTGTGCTGCTATAAACATTAATGTGGCTGTGTCCCTGTAGTATGCTGTTTTTAAGTCCTTTGGGTATAGTCTGAGGAGAGGGACAGCTGAGTCAAATGGTGGTTCCATTCCCAGATTTCTAAGGAATCTCCATTCTGCTTTCCATATTGGCTACACCAATTTGCAGTCCCACCAGCAACCTATGAGTGTACCTTTTTCCCCACATCCTTGCCAACACTTATTGTTGTTTGTCTTCATAATAGCTGCCAGTCTGACTGGAATGAGATGATATCTTAGAGTAGTTTTGATTTGCATTTCTATGATTGCTAGAGATGATGAGCATTTTTTTCATATATTTGTTGATTTCATATATTTGTTCTCTTCTAAGAAGTGTCTGCTCAGGTCCTTGGCCCATTTGTTGATTGGGTTATTTGTTCTTTTGGTACTTAGCTTTTTGAGTTCTTTATATACCTTAGAGATTAGTGCTCTATCTGATGTATAAGGGGTAAAAATTTGCTCCCATGATGTAGTCTCTCTGTTCACCTCACAGATTATTTCTTTTGCTGAGAAGAAACTTTTTAGTTTGATTCCACCCCATTTATCATTATCCAAAGTATATTTATGAAGACACAAATTGGTGTCAACATACTTTATATACAAACAGAGATATGAAAAATTGTGGTATATATGTGTAATAAGAATTGTAATGCCAAAAACGACAACAACAACAAAGTACATGTATAAAGATAAAAAAAAAATGTGAGCAGTACAAAGACCATGGACAGGTGACTTGATTTCTTTGAAGCCCAGGTCCCATCTCTGAAATACTGAGGTTCTTCTGACATTGTTGTGAAAGTCAAATAAATCATGTGCATGAAAGAATTTATAAACAATAAAAATGTAATAAACATGAGAAAGAGTTTTATCAACTACCAGAGGTAAAATAATAGATTTACCTTGAGATAGAAATCCCGATGGGGGTGTTGCTTCTCTCCATATGCAGACACTTTCTGACTTTATACATTTACTACCTCCTGGCTTTAGAGAAGGGTCCAAGTTTCTTTATTTGCAAAATTTATCATGCTGAAACCTGGCTTTTTAGGTCCTGGGCTTAGTGTGAACCTAGTTTTATTACTAGCACCTTCATCCCTGCCCGTCGCCTGGCATTCTTCCCTCTCTTAGAAAAAAAGTTTAGTACTTAGCATTTACATACATGCTTGATGTTTGCCAATCTAAATGCCTAAGGATGACATGGCTCTTCTTCATTGTAACTAGAATGCAAAATGACTATGTTTCCTGACTAAAGGGATTATGGCGACCTTCTCAGTAAAACATAAAGAACATGGAGGCATTGTCTCTCCCATGTCTCCATGTGACAGTAACTGAGGTTACAAATAGACTTTGCTTTTAGTCTTCAAATGGCTTTTGATCATATATAGGGGAAAACCCAAACACATTTCTTGTCAGTAGGCTTGCAAATGCTGTATTTACATAATCTGGGCCTGGCTAAATCTCCATCATTATTTTCCACCTCTCTTTCCCACATAAAGGTTTTCACACAGATAGATGCTTGATGGTTCACTCTGACATCATTTAGTTCCTTACTTCAAAAGACCTTTGCTGACCACCTGAAGAGAACATCGCCACATCAATATCTATTTACTGAGAGTCAGTTGTGTTCATAGCATTTATCATTTCCTAACTTTTTATATTTGCTTTTGCTTATTTATTTGTGTACAAGCTCTATGAAGACTGAAGTTCTCCTCTTCACTTTTATATCTGTGACACTTGGAACGGTAGTGACAAAAAGAGGTTCCCAGTAAATATCTATAAAAGGAATGATTTGACTC